CTTCTATTTTATCTTTGGAATTCTAATATTTAGGTCACTATCTGTTGCTTCCAGCTATTCTTTTCTGACACATTGTAGCTCTTTTTAGGCTTAAAAAGATATAAGCAATTAATTAATCTATGTTATTCCTCTGGGTATAAAGGTCTAGATGTACTAAGTCGTACACATAGTATAAGATTACATAGCTATTCCTGAACTGCAGCTTCTAGATTAATTGTGCCTTATAGGCTGAAATATGAAGAGCTGCTGGATGCTCTGCCTCTCTGAAAAATCTGATACAACTAACACAATAAAAAACTCCAATGTTCTCAAATACTTGAAACATGATCGTGTATGTATACATATTCCACAACACACAATTTTAGGTTCAGATAAGGAGAATAATGATGAACAGATCCTTTGCCTGATCATATCTGCCTTTCCTAAAAGAAAAAATATCCACCACAGGTTTTACTTGAAAAACATAATCCTTGGATTTTAGTGAGTAACATCACTCCCAATTAGATAAAAATTATACTCAGGTATGGGGTGTGAGAGACTGAAAGAGTTAATGTCTCAAACATTGTGGCAGGACAGGTCTTGCATGACAAAAGCTGCAAATTCTGCTCAGCAATGAGAAGAAAAGAAATGCTGGAAGCAGGGGGGCCTGCCTGTCCCAGGATTCAAGGATGGGAGGATGCAGAGTTCTGTGTTGCCAGGCAAGATGATATATGGCCAGAGGCCATACAGAGCTATTGTGGGGAAGGGGCTCATGACCACCGCCCCCACACGATGGCGCCTGCACATAAGAGCACCTGAAATGACCATACATCTAACCTATGCCTCTCAGATTAGGAGACACGGAACCATGTCTAGCTACACCCTTGCTGCGTTGCTGGCTTTTATATCTTGATGTTTGAGAATTATGCAAAAGTTGAACTTCTCATGTCTGCACCATTGTCAATGTCAGTATGCTGCCCTGTCTGCTGGGCTGTGTCCATGAAAAAACAGTGGAAAGAGGTGAAGGGCAAGGCTGGCACTTGGGAGCAAAGGCACTTGCAAGAAAAACATTGTGTGGTGCATACTCTTTCAATACGTATGTAGTTACACAGTTTATTTTTCACTGGACTCCTTCTAAATCTTTTGGATGCTTCTGACCAATCAATATGGATATACTTATTTATTAAAGACAAAAATTCCTAGCTAGTGGAATTTTATTTTTGATAGTGTAGTGGTTCTTCTTTGTAACTATTTCTAAGCCCTAATGAATCTTACTTCTGCCTGCATTGACTCCACCAACAAAACTGATTACAGTATTTCTCTAAGCTTTTAACTTTTATAAAATTTGTCTAATAAAAATGGCATAGAAGTGGTTTAATTTTCATAGAATCGTAGAATGGTTTGGGTTGGAAGGGACCTTAAAGATCATCCAGTCCAACCCCCCCTGTCATGGGCAGGGACCCCTCCCACTAGGCCAGGTTGCCCAAAGCCCTGTCCAACCTGGCCTTGAACACCTCCAGGGAGGGGGCATCCACAACTTCCCTTGGCAACTTGCTCCAGTGTCTCACCATCCTCACAGTAAAGAATTTCTTCCTAATGTGTAACCTATATCTACCTTCTTTCAGCTTAAAACCATTCCCTCTCGTCCTATCACTACCTGCCCTTGTAAAAAGTCCCTCCCCAGCTTTCCTGTAGACCCCCTTCAGGAACTGGAAGGCCGCAATAAGATCCCCTCGGAGCCTTCTCTTCTCCAGGCTAAACAGTCCCAACTCTCTGGTCCTTGTAGGGGAAGTGCTTCAGCCCTCTGATCATCTTTGTGGCTCTTCTCTGGACCCACTCCAACAGCTCCTTATGCTGGGGGCCCCAGAACTGGATGTAGTACTACAGGTTGGATCTCACAAGAGCAGAGTAGGGGGCAGAATCACTTCCCTCACCCTGCTGGTCACGCTTCTTTTGATTACATCTTTGTTTCAAGTAATGTCAAATCACAAAAAGTAACTCCATTCAATTTGCTAATGGAGAGATGATATGGTAGGGCATTTGGGGATAGTCAGGACGTGACAAAAAAAAAATCAATCTTAGTAGTTAGTCTTGACATCAGTTAGGAAACCATCATCCCAAGAACTTGTGATTTCTATTTGGGAAGTAGTGTTTAAGAAAAAAAAACCAAACAAATTACAAGCTTTGAAGCATAATACCTATGCTTAAAATAGGTATTTATGAAAAGTAAAATAAGAATCAAAGCCCTCTCTGTCATGCTTAGTTTAACAGGTGAGGGCAATGGATGCATTTATCAAAAGCTGTCAAAATTACTGTGTATCACACTGTTCAGCAAACAGATTCTTTAAAGAATGGTTAAAAAAGGAAGTGCTTGGTTAACTAAGTGACAGTAAGTGGTCAAAAAGTAGTTCATGTCTTACTCCCATGAGAAAGTTTGCAAAGGGTCCTTTCCACATCCCTCATGGCAACAGAATTCCATACACTAAGCTCTGTTTTACAGCTCAGAAGACAAGAGGGTTGATTAGACACTCACGTTAAAGGATTCTTACTCTGCTCTCAGGGGGAGACCAGTGGCATTTTAAGTGGGCAGCTTTTCTATCTTGGGTGCTGAGAAAATCAGCATCACCTGGAAGGGCAGTAAGCTGATTTTAAACTTAAGTGTGTCCAAGGACATACAGTGGCGGGCATTCAGGATGTATCATTTCATATGCTTAGCTTGGGTAGCCATAATGTGCTTAGGCTGTATTTCACATCATTCATCACAATTTCAAACCTGATTATAAGTTAGTCCTTTTGCATCAGAGAATGAAACCTTCCTAAAAAAAAAAATATTTCAGCTCCCACTGCAGCTCCTTCCTTTCCAGTTACCTCGTCTTCTAAAATTGGAAGTATAATCAATCATATTATCCTTGAAAACAAAAATTATCCTGGTTTCTTCACAGAATTATTTCTAGAGAAATATCCCTGGGAGGGAAGGATTGATAAGCTGAACACTGTCCTAGCAAAAGCCTAACATTTCTCTTTCTCAGTAAGATTTGACATTCTTGTCTATCACTACCTTAAAAGTCAGTTTTATAACTCTCATATCTAATATTGATAGTAGAAGCCTTCTTTCATTGCCTCTTTCTTGGCTAATAGTGCATCTGGCAAAGTTACCTGATTTCCCTAGAAAACCACAAAGACAAGCACATCCCTCAAACTACACAGCTCAACCTACATTCTCAGGATAAAAACAATTTTCACAACAGCCATTTGGGGTTTACATTGTCATATGGACATGCATATCTTCTGTCTTATAAACTGTTTCAACACTGCCAGCAGAGGCTTGAGAACACAGCAGTCTTGCTATTTCACATTACATTATCTGTTAAAGATATTATGATGATGAAGCCCTTTGAAAAGCTGAAAATATCTTTTCTGGGTTAATTTTCAGTCAGATGAATAAGCTGATCCAAGTCATCATATGTTGCTGAGCTGGCTAAAGGACAGGGAGCTGCAGCCACAGACTGTAAGTAACGCTTACCAGGCATCAGTGTGGTCTTTGGGGGACTTGGGGACTTGATCTCATAATCAACTCACTAGCACCAAGAACAGTGGTTAATACAAAAGCAAACTCACTAGTTTGAAAGCATAGTTAAGTATTTTAGGACTCTGCTGCAAATGGCTGTATGTAGAACCAGTTCCTCCACCAAGGAATTCTAGTTTAAATGGATCAAAGGAAGCACTTAAGTCACCACTATAGGTAGAAAACTGTGGCATGGAATAACTGGGTAAATTACCAAGAGAGAAAGTACAGGTGAAGTCCATATGGAATTCCCATTTCACTCCCTTTTACCAGTTTCTGTAGTATAGTATTTTTCAGAACAGACTAGAAAAATGTAAAAAAGTTTAATGATGATTTACAAATATACAATACTTACATTTTTAGGAGTTACAGAAAATGGCACATACTACAGAAACCAAAAGCTTCCTCTAACCTTTGGTACATTTCAAAGTTATTTACAAAGAAAAATTACGGTCACTTTTCAGTGTGTCACGTTTACATATAAGCATTTCTCAGTTGGAAAATATCTTTCCGCTTACTCACAGGCAGGTTTTGCAGTTTGAGTTCGGCACCTATCTATCACATCAAAAATTCTATCAGCCCCTGTTAAGCTGACATGACGTTACATTTTTATGTTTTAACAGCCTTTAGTTTGAAGAATATGCACAACCCATAAGGCTAAGCCAAGTCATACTTGTTGAGATTTCACCTGGTGTATTTTATATTGCTCATGGTTTGGTAAAATTACATAGGCTACCATTTCTAATTAGCTCAGTAACACATGTTTAAAAAATAGGTGGTCCAATTCTGCTAGCTAAGGTATTTCTAACTCTTCATGAAGAGAATTTAAAAAAAAAAGATTATAAAAGATGCTTTTTCACCTTATGAAACTTTCAAAATAAATTCTTCCTTCACTATGTACAACTGTTAACTAAGGTAATGAAAACAAACTAAGCACGCTTTCCAAATTCTGTTCATTTCCATTAGTTTTCCAATGTTGGATACTTTCTGGATTGTACTTTCTTTAAACCAAAACTTACAAACTTTGTTCTACTTGAGAGCAAATATTAGTATTTCTTAGTCTCTGTGTACTTGAGAGTCTTCTTATAGATTAAAATATTTGCAGTACGAGAAATATAGCCAAGACATACAGTCTGTTTTTGATATCTTCTACTTACGTGTGTATACAAACACTTTCATGCTCATGATTTTCAAACTATACAATTTCAACACATAACAGTATGTGAACTCAGTACAATCTTCATTGTGCTTAAGATAGTTTGGGACTACATGTTTACAACTGGGAGTTTTTAATTAAGACTAAATACCACCAGAGTAGTAGTTATGGTTCAGGTCAAGATTCTTCTAAATTGAGAAACAGAAAAATCTTGCCATCAGTAGCTGTGAACAGAGTTTAAGTGTCTTCCAGCATTTCCCTCCCCAAATCTTACTCCATAGGAAAAAAACGCCTCCAAATTCAAGCATCTTTAAAGAATGCCTGCATTCTAGATTTTCTTCGTGCAAGAGCTGCTTGTTTTTTTCTTTCAATCTCTTCTTGAGAACATTTTCTGTTTTTTTGCTCTACCACAGACACTGTAAATAAAAAAACAAAACAACCCATGTATTAGGAGCCTTCAAGTTTGTTCGATATGTGTTTTAACTTACCTGTTTTCAGTGTTTGAAGATTTATGGCAAGAGCACAGTACTCTGACATGCCAGGCACCCAAGTTAAAAATGGCTCATCTATCCTGTCCCCAAGGCAGGAAGGGGGATAGGATGCGTGACCTTTGTAGTGCTACTGATTACTGCCTCCCAATGAAAACCCTGGGATGCAGACATTTTCTTCAAGAAAATTTTACTTGGCTGCCCTTCAAGTGAACCTTGTGTCATCAGGAGTCAACATAGGAGATGGCAGTGGGTTAAGAAAATTAAGGGAATCAGAGTGAAAAGGGCTTTTTACTGAGTTAGGCAGAGATACGGAGATGGTATAGACACAGGGGTCAGATATAGTACAGGTGTCACATAAATAAAAGCAGAAAGGTTGAAAAAAGGTCAAAAGTAGCAATAAAAATCAGCAAAGGAGACAAGAACATGACAGCTAAGTGTAATATTTTATATGTTGTGTTACAGAACTATAAATGCCCATAAAATAAAATCCTGACCTCACTGGAACCAGCAGGAACATCATCTGAACATGTCAAGAATTTTACTGGTTTTATACACCAATTTCCAATTAATGTATTTTTAATAAGTAGTCTTTCAAATGGGACAAATAAAACAAAGTGTCTTTTTGCATCTCTAAAAAAAAAAAAGTGTCCATGAAAAATTATTTATCAGTTTTTGAAAAGATCACTTAACATCCATCTTTTTGTTACAACGTCCTTTCACCAAAAATTTAAGATGAGAACAGTTGATGTTTATCTGTAAATAAAATCTATGCTATTTTCATTCCTTTATTCGCTAGAACATTCCACAGAATGACAAGTTATGTCTCCCCTCCTTCCCCCCTTAACATCTGAAGTTGCTACTTTACATTTATCCGCTTCTTTGCTGAGTAAGAAACAGAGATAAAATACTGATTCTTCAAATAATGCTGGCTGATAGTTTGCAGGAATTTTTTTGTTGCTTTTGTAACAATGCTTCCTGAAAATTGATGTTGATATAGTACATTTCATCAAAATGAATACTGATTAAAACTTCACCAAGCCATGAGATCAAGTAAAACCAAGACTGACTGGCACTTAGCTGGTTCTATTTTTCCCTAGCAAGAAACCCCAGTGCATGAAATATTACAGACCATTGCTTGATGACGGAAAAGTGACTGACCTCCTCTCTAGATGAAAGGAAATGTTAGGCTTTAGACTGATAACACAAGAATATTTCATTGGCAATTTTAGTCACAGAGCAAACAATGCAGGCCAAGGTTTCAGAAGATACAGAATGATTCGAGCTTGCAGTTTCCAGGTGAACAATAATAAAAATAAATTGGCACTCGTATCACCTGCTGTCTTCTTTCCCTGCCCCACCATTAACTGGAGTTTTACGAATCATGGCTGATACACATAACTTTAATGTTTTTCAAAATGAACTGTAAATTAAAGCACAGATTCAAGCTTCAACATTTAATACATATCGAAATAGTAGTATTTTTAAGTAGCAATTTAAGAATATAGTATGCCAAGTGCTGCCATCAGCCTATACTTGATCCTAGTTATTCCAAGTGTCTCTGAAGAGAGAGTGTGAAGTATTCAGAGAAGTGGAATGAAAATGGAAAACAGAAGTCCTTAAATACAGGAATTCAAGAGATGTGCCAGGACAATTTTATTTTGGAGAAAATAACCTCTGAATTCTTGTTAGAACATTTACTAATGCCTAAACTGAATGGCTGAATATTGAAGCCTATTATAAGCTGCAATACAATATATATTTCTTGTTTGATACTCCGATTACAGTGAGAATACACACAAAAGCAGTCTAACAGTGATACAATAAAGACAAATACCTGATGTAGGCAGTGCAAAAGACTCTGAAAGGTGCCTCTTGAAAGGTGGTTTCTTACAGTCAAGCTTGCTGTGCAAAGTCACATTCACCTGATTTTTGCTTCCTTCCAAACCTTGCAGAGTAATTCCGATGCCAGAGTGACTCCCTGGATTTTCAGACTCTACATGAAGAGCACCCTGAGTATTGTTAGTTTTTCGGAACTTAAACTTTGAAGGCATAAGTGATGTTTTGTTACCAGAACTGTTACTTGGCATCTTTGCCACATTATACAAAAAATCTGGGCTGTCTAATGTTTTGCTGCTAAAAACTTTTACTGCATTAACAGGAGTTACTTCAGAACCAGTCTCTCCTGCTGGCACAGAATTTGACCTGTACCATTTTCCTGAAACAGTCTTTATAGTATCTTCAGAAGCAGCTTGACGACAGTTTTTAGACGTGTATTTACACTCTATAGAAGTACCAGAGATCAGAGTTTGAAGACTTGAGAAGTTTTTACAGATCACTACATGACCTGTTGTGGCCAGCCCACGTGTAACCTTTGATGAATTCCTACAGGAATCATTTAGTGATAAAGTGTCCTGTTTTGCATTTGTTTTTTGTGCCAAGAGGTGATCAAGTAGTCCTTGTTTAGCTGCTGGGAAGCTATTACCAGCATTTGATCTAGAATTCATACTGTCTCCTTGTATAGATTTAGCTCTTTCATTTCCTTGTTTAACATCCTGGCTCTGAGTCTGCTTTTCGATATCATCACACATCTGATACAACAATTCATCATCCTCACAGTTTGCATCCCAAAGACTATCGGAGTCACAAAACATATCTAATATCTCATCAGAGAACTTAGGTTCATTCCAGTCATCAAATGACGGAGGACGTTTCTTTGGTATTTCAGTTTCATTTGAGTGACCTGTATTACCTTGGTTAACCACTTTAGTTAGATCAGTAGGTTTCATATTAGTAGAAACACTGGAAGTTTGACAGAAAACACTCTGTGAATTATTCCCAGGTTTTTGAGTCTGTTGTCTATGAGGATTAGATCTTGAAGGAAAAACAGGAAGAGGGTCACTTTTAGGCTGAGTAGTTTCATTTCCATTCTTCACTTCAGATAGTGTTGAAACAGGAATATAGTTCAGATCACTGTTTGGGGCACTTGTGCAAATAGAATTTATTTTATCTGGCTTAACATCACATTTGCCATGAAAGGCTATGGTCTCTGTCTTATATGGCGGTTGTAAGGAAAGATATTTTACAACATTTTGCGTGTTTTGAGTAGAATGTTTCAAAGGTGAAAACTGCAAACTGTTAGATTTGCATATACTCCCCAAACAAGTCACTGAATTGCAAGTACTTCCCTTTGTTCTGCTAGCATCATTGAAACCATGCACAGATAGATTTGTAGGAATTGGTGGTACTTCTTCAATACTCATCAATTCAGGATTTTGGGTTATTTGCATCACAAAAGAGTCATCTGCCAAAAAATCTGTATCCCAGTCATCAAAATCATCGAGTATTCCAGCAACCTTACTGGAGACCACCAGTTGTGTCTTTGGAGAACAAAGATTTTTTTTTGTCAACATATGAGTATCAGGTTTTGGAAAAGTCTGGTTCACGCTTCCTAGTTCACATGGAGCATGTTTTTGATATGCCTCTGAATTACCATGTTGCTGAGGAAGGCGTTCCTCTTCTAAGGTGCCTTTATTTTCATGGACACTATTATTTAAAGAAATACTTGATAGTCCTGGGCTCAACTGTCCACTACATTTCTGGGTAGAGCAGTCAAAAAGAGCATGAAGGGCTATTTCAGCCTCAACATCTATAGACTTTTGACTGATAGACTGACAGGGCTCCGCAGCAGGGATGCCAGTGCTTTGTCCAACTGGTTTAAGAGACAGAGCAATACCTGTTTCAGAAACTTTACCAAGGAATGATTTCAAGTTCTTAATATTTACTTCATCTTTAGAATTATTTAAAGACTCTGAGGCAGTCCGGATGAAGTCATGACCAATCTTCCCTTGTTCCTGTACAGTATCTAGCTCTACTAGATTTTTGTCAAATTCCTTAGCCAATTTCATGAGTTCCTCTTCAGGATTTTTTATTTTAAGATCTCTAGATTAAAAAAAAAAAAAAAAGAATAAAGAAAAGAAATTTAGAGCTACTGAGAAAGTTTAACCAAGCTCAATAACACAACCATATGAAATGTTCATTCTCTAGTTTAACTACAGAGAACATGACCAAATCCCACCGCTTTCAGTATGCAATCAGCATGCAAGCTTTTTGATAATTCCCAATAAATACCTCATTGAGAAGAGATAACAAGCCTAAAGTTAAAAGCATTTTGTATCCTAATGTACAATTATGAGGTTCACTGTACGTAAAGGTATACCACATACACTTTTTCATGAAAGCCCAGCTGTTACGGGCAAGGAAAAGCTGTAACTTACCTTGTACAGCTTAACTTTGTCCTAGCTCGCACTTTTACTACTCCAGGTGTACAGGGAATAGCATCATCACCAATCCATGTCCCTAAAAGGGAGCCTTCATTACAGGCTGCTTTTTCATCCTGAATGATTAGATTTCATTTCAGATATTTGATTTCAGATTAGATTGGACTAAACACACATCTTGCATTAGTTAATAGTTGCTAAACCTATTAAACTGGATCAAATGTGTTGTAAGCCACAGATAAGTGCTGAACTAATACAAACTAAGCAAGATTACTGCAACATTGTCTACTGATAGTTGTATCACTTCAGTTATATGAATTTAAAACAGGAACATCAATTAAAATAACTGAGATTTACTTTGGTGCTCAAATCTAGTACTGTTTATTTCAGGCTTATGCATAATCTGCAATATTGACCTTACAAGCTGTGATCTAGTTTACTTTAGTACACTACTTAGAAACTAGTTGAGATGCACTGTCTTTATCCACTTAAAGCAGCATTAACAGTTCAGAGAATATGAAAGAAATCATATTCTGCATGCTTCCAGGAAAAAATTCTGACTTCTTCTATTACAATTAATTTATACAAGGAGCCTTTAAACAGAAGTAAGTGAAGTTTAGACACTAAATGAACTTGTTTCAAAGCTTCAAAGTTTAGGCTTGGATTTGAATTCTGAAATCCAAGAGATACAATACTGCAGTGGTAAAATGTGTAGAGGGCCAGAGCCAAATGTTGGAGTGAGAAATTACTGCATGTAAGCCAGCAAAGGTAAATTGAACTTTACCAACAGGTTAGTTTTAGGTAGGTTTTTGGGATTTGTTTTTTGTTTTTTTGAAGAAAAAAGAACACAAGCAACAGATAGTTTCAAATCCAGATTGCTATTATTTACATTTATGATAGGGCTGTAATAACTGAGAAGGTAGAACGTGGCATCCCTTGATTTTCCAATTCTTAAGTATAATATGCCAAACAGTGAATATATTTTACAGGGCCCAGCCAAATAAGCAGGCATATTTTGCAAGCCAAATACTACAGAACTGTTTTAGGAATAACAGGTTCTCGTCTTCCACTTAATAAAAGGCAAACAATAAGGCAATACTATCTTATTTTCACTTTCCAGGCTGTGAAGATCAGGTTTACAGCACAAGAGAAACACCGAGACCATGTATCTTAGGCTAAAAAGACAAATTATTTAGAATAAGGAAGCAACATTACTATGTTTGTATTACTGTGGAGTTTCTTGCTCATCCGAGCCTTGTTCTTGTACTTCAGCAGTCATTCAAGATCATTTAAAATGCTTAAAAACCACTGCCAAGTTAATCCAGTATGCAAAGAAACTCTTACCTTTTAACAAATGAGTGATTAAGGATAAATAAATACAACAGTATTTCTAAGACCGGGGCAGTAATTTGTATTCTTAAAATAAAGCCTTCTAAAATGGAGCTTCTGCAAGTCCACTTTTTTAATGCATCCTTTTTTACAGCATCTGTGACTCATAAGAGCAATCAGTTAAATGCTGTACTTGTGATTTTAATTCAGTCTAGTTTTATGAACATTTTTGTTTTCTGCACACCTGATTCCTACTATGTTAAAGATACTACTATAACTAAAATTGAGCTTTCACTAAAACGGAATACTGTAGCAGTATTCTCTGATTACTGCATATACAGAGCATAGAGAGTAACAATTACCTGAGGAGCAATACGGTTAACAATTTCTGAAATCTCTACTGCGCATCTACTGGTAGACTGTTTGGTTTTCCCACTGCCTATGAAAACAAACAAAAATGAATGAATTTTTAATAAAAATAAACCCAAACAACCTAGCCATGATAAGAAAATGGGAACATTTTTCAATAAATTTGATAACTTTTAGTACACTCCTACTCCATGCCTCAAATAGGTGCCCTGAAGTCTGGGATTTTGTTAGCATTACCTAGTTTGTGTGCAGTTGGTGAATGAGGATCCCAGAAAATTTCTTGCTGTATGTCAGTGTCATTAAGAGGAGAGCTGAAAGTAGGTATCCGGGATTTCCTACTCAAGGATCTCTTTGGTGTTTGATGTAAACAGGACTCTGTGTAAACAGAAAGATGATCCTTAATAAAAAATAACAAATAAAAGGCCAAAATAATTTAGAACACGTAACAGGACAAGGTATAAAGAAGATGCTTTAGGAACTTCATTAATAAAAATCAAATTCACACTTAGCAACGTTCCTTTACTTACAACAGGAATATGGCTCACAACTATACATTTAATGCAGAGTATGACTCAATCTTTGTCAGTTACATCATCACAGAGATAATGGAGCATTACACAATATTGACAGCTATACACTTCGCATCTGACAGTAAGAGTGAGAACTGGCTATCTTCCTACTTGAGGAAATATTGACTTCAGCTTATGTTAAGAGAAAAACTATGCATACCTATATAGGAGAGTATTTTGTATCCTGACTTGCTGTATGTCTTTTACCCAGGCTCTGATTTGGGTGATAACTTTAATGGGCCTCCAAACTGTTCTGGGTCACAGCCTACCCGTGTCTATACTTCTCTTCACCAGGCCTTTTCAGCTAGAACTATTAAAAGCAGGAATACAGCCGTTCAAAACCAGCTTGCAGCTGCCTCTGATCAGTAAGTGAAATGAACACACTATGTGAAGCTCAACTAGTCCCCCCTGCCTTTTAGAAATGATGCTGCAGACGTGGAGGCCTACAGAAATAATTTGAAAAGCTGCAATTATGACGTGAGAAGCATCTTAAGAGATGGTGTGCATTTACGCGCTTAGCATGGCCAGACTTTATTCTCTCCTCGAAGGGATTTTATGTTCTAACTAAGAACATAAGGAGAGCCCCTTCCCAATGCATGCAGTCGAGGCGCCCGGGGATAAGCCGGGTGGCGTTTACACCGCACCAGTCTCCTCCTCACAGGCAGCTCGCGCCCACCCCGCGGCTCTAGGGGTGGCGGGCAGGGCAGGGCCTCCC